TCTTTATCTATTCCTCTGTCGATGGACATTTAGGTTGCTTCCATGTCCTGGCTATTGTAAATAGTGCTGCAGTGAACATAGGGGTGCATGTATCTTTTTGAGTTATGGTTTTCTCTGGATAGATACCCATAGAGGGATTGCTGGATCATATGGTAGCTCTATTTTTAGTTTTTTAAGGAAGTTCCATACTGTTCTCCATAGTGGCTAAACCAATTTACATTCCCACCAACAGCATAGGAGGGTTCCCTTTTCTCCACACCCTTTCCAGCATTTATTGTTTGTAGATTTTTTTGATGATGGCCATTCTGACCCGTGTGAGGTGATAACCTCATTGTACTTTTGACTTTTGTTTCTGTAATGATTAGTGATGTTGAGCATCTCTTCATGTGCTTTTTAGCCATCTGTATGTCTTCTTTGGAGAAATGTCTGTTTAGATCTTCCACCCGTTTTTTGATTGAGGTTTTTTTCTATATTGAGCTGCATGAGCTGTTTGTATACTTTGGAGATTAAACCCTTGTTTGTCTAGTCATTTGCAAATAATTTCTCCCATTCTGAGGGTTGTCTTTTTGTTTTGTTTATGATTCCTTTGCTGTGGAAAAGCTTTTAGGTTTAATTAGGTCTTACTTGTTTATTTTTGTTTTTATTTTTATTACTCTAGGAGGTGGATCAAAAAAGATGTTGCTGCAATTTATGTCAGAGTGTGTTCTGTGTTTTCCTCTAAGCATTTTATAGTATCCGGCCTTACATTTAGGTCTTTATTCCATTTTGAGTTTGTTTTCGTGTATGGTGTTAGGGAGTGTTCAAAAATGTTATATAAATGGAATCATACAGTATGTAACTTTCGGGATTGGCCTTTCTCACTCAGCATAATACTCTTGTGATCCATCTGAGTTGTTGCATGCATCAATGGTTTGTCCCTTTGTCTTGCTGAGTAGTATTTCATGGTATGGTAGGCATGGCATTTCATAGTTTGTTTAACCATTCACTAGTAGAAGGACATCTGAGTTGTTTCATTTTTTGCTATTACAAATAAAAGTGCTATGAACATACGTGTACAGGCTTTTGTGTGGACATATTTATTTCTCTACAATAAATGCCAAGAGTTCAAAGGTAATTGCATGTTTAGTTTTTTAAGAAACTGCCCAACAGTTTTCCATAGTGTCTGTACCATTTTACATATCCACCACCAGTGTATGAGTGCTAGTTTCTCTGTATCTTCACCAGTTTCTGGTGTTACCACTATTTCATTTTAGTTATTCTGATGTATAGTAGTATTGCATTGTGGTTTCAATTTGCATTTCCCTGATGGCTAATGACAGTTCCTTGTATATTTCAGATGCAGTTCCCTTGTTGGAATTCCTTTGTTGGAATTCCTTTGTTGGAATACATGTTTTCTCCCAGTCTGTAGTTGGTTTTTTCATTCACTTAACAAGGTCTTTTGCAAAGCTTAAGTTTTTAATTGATAATAGCTATTTGATAAATTTTTGCTTTTATGGATTAAGCTTTTGGCGTCAAGTGTAAGAACTCTTTGCCTTGTTCTAGATCTCAAGCTTTTCTCCTGTTTTTTTTTCCTAAACATTTTATAGTTTTATGTTTTACATTTAAGCCTGTGGTCTATTTTAAAGTAATTTTTGTGTAAGTTGTGTGGTCTAGGGAGAGGTTCATTTTCTTGCCTGTGGATGGCCAGTTGCTCCAACACCATTTGTCATTGAATTCCTTTTGCAACTGTGTCAAAAATCAGTTGTCTGTACTTTTGTTGGTTTATTTCTGGGTTCTCTTTTTTTTCCCATTGATCATTGTGTCTGTTCTTCTGCCAGTGTCACACAGTATCTGTTATTGTAACTGTATCAGTAGTATACCTGAATATTGAGTAGAGCCATTCAAGATTGCCCAATTCTTCTTTGTCAAGATAGTTTTCACTATTCTTGAGTCTGTGCCTTTCTGTATAAACTTTAGAGTAAACTTCTCTTTGTCCATAAAAAACCTTGCTGGGATTTTGATAGGATTTGCATTAAACTTACAGATCATTAAACCTAAAATGGGAAAAGTTGACATTTTTACTATGAATGTGGTATGTCTCTCCATTTATTTAGGTCTTGCTCTGTTTCTTTCATCATCATTTTATAATTTTTAGCATATAGGTCCTGGACATGTGTTTTGTTCTTTTGGGGTGTGAGAGGTGATTATAAATGGTGTTCTGTCCTTGGTTTTGGTTTTCAAATGTCCATTGTTAGTATACAGAAATGCAGTTTATTTTTGTGTGTTGATCTTATATCCTGTCACCTTGCTGAATTCGTAGTGTTCTTGGAGGGGTTTTTTGGGTAAATTCCTTGGGAATTTCAAGGTAGACTGGCATGTCATCTGCAAATAGGAGCAGTTTCATTCCTTGTTTTCTAATCTGTGTGCATTTTCTTTGTCTTGCCTTGCTGAAGTGGCTGGAACTTCCAGTATTATGTTAAATAAGAGTGGTTAGAGAGAACATCCTTACCTTGTTCCCAGTCTTAAAGACAAAGTACTCAGTCTTTAATTACTAAGTATATTGTTAGCTGTAGTTTTTTTGTAGATGCTCTGTATCATGTTGAGGAAGTTCTCTTCCTGGTTTGTTGAGAGTTTTTATCATGAATGGATTTATCGTGTTGGATTTTGTCAAATCTGTATCAATTGATAACAACCATATCATTTTTCTTAGCTTATTGATATGTAGGGATTTGTAACTATTGAACCAGCCTTGTGTACATACAATAAATCCTATGGTATGTAATTCTTTTATATATTTTTGAATTTAATTTGTTAATATTTTGTTGAGCATTTTTGCATCCAAGTTCATGAGAAATAGTGGTCTGTAGTTTTTTGTTTTTTTTTTTAAATTTTATTTATTTATTTATTTTTGGCTGTGTTGGGTCTTCGTTTCTGTGCGTGGGCTTTCTCTAGTTGGGGCGAGCCGGGGCCACTCTTCATTGCGGTGCACGGGCCTCTCACTGTCGCGGCCTCTCTTGTTGCGGAGCACAGCTCCAGGCGCGCAGGCTCAGTAGTTGTGGCTCACGGGCCTAGTTGCTCCGCAGCATGTGGGATCTTCCCAGACCAGGGCTCGAACCCGTGTCCCCTGCATTGGCAGGCAGATTCTCAACGACTGCGCTACCAGGGAAGCCTTGTAGTTTTCTTTTTTTTGTACTGTCTTTGTCTGGATTTGATATCAGCATAATACTGGCCTCATAAAAATGAATTGGGAAATGTTCCCTTCTCTTGTATTTTCTGGAAGTGACTGTAAATTGGTGTTAATTCTTTAAATGTTTGGTAGGCTTCTCCACTGAAATCATGTGGACCTGGATATTTCTTTTGGGGGGTGCTTAAGTAGGAATTGTGTTACTTTAATAGAACTATTCAGATTATCTATTTCATTTTGCCTAAGTTGTTACAGTTCGTGGTTTTTGAAGAATTAGTCTATTCTAAGTTGTTCAATTATGTTATTAGTATTCTCTTATCCTATCAATGGCAACAAATTTGTTATAATATCCCATTGCATTCTTGATATTGGTGATTTGTGTCTTCTCTCTTTTTATGTTTGCTGCTCTTGCTGGGAAGTTTATCCGTTTTGTTCATTTTTTGGAAGAAACAGTTTTTTGTTTTTTTAAAATTTTCTCTTGCTTTTCTGTTTTCTCATTTATTTATTTTTATTCTTTATTATTTCCTTATTTCTGCTTGCTTTTGGTTTAATTTGCTCTTCTTTTTCTAGGTTCTTGAGGTTAGAATTTAAATTGTTGATTTCTTTCCTCTTTTCCAATGTAAACATTTAGTGCTGAAAGTTTCCTCTCAACACTGTTTAGGTATAATCTCATTTAGCTATAATCTCACATAACTTAATATGTTGTACTTTTATTATTATTCAGTACTTTGTATTTTTTTTCAAGACTTCCTCTTTGATCCATGGATTATCTAGAATTGTATTGCTTAACGCCATGTATTTAGAGACTTCCTTCCAGTTTTGATGCTTAGTATGATTCCATATGGTCGAGGAACATACTCTGTATGATTTCAGGTTTTTTTGACATTTATGAGGTTTGCTTTTTTTTAACTTATTTTTTATTGAAATATAGTTGAATTATAATGTTGTGTTAATTACTGCTGTACAGTAAAGTGATTCAGTTATACATGTATATACATTCTTTGTCATATTCTTTTCCATTATGGTTTATTGCAGGATATTGAATGTAGTTCCCTGTGCTATACAGTAGGACCTTGTTTATTCATTTTATATATACTAGTTTGCATCTGTTAATCCAAACTCCCAATCCAACCCTCTCCCACCCCCCCTCCCCCTTGGCAACCACCAGTCTATGTCCCTGATTTATACGGTTTGCTTTTTGACCCCGGATATGGCTCATTTTAAAACACCAGATTTTTAGGAACTCTGTGGAGTCCTGCCCACTCCCTGTTACCTCAGTCTGCCATAACACTTCAGCTATAGCTCACATTGCTTGTCTCTCAACAGCAGAGAAAAGAGGCCTAGAGCAGCCTTCCAAGGGCCCCTGAGTTAGTGACAGAATTGGACATTAAGCCCTGAGAGCCCTGCCTACTTGGACTAGGAACCTGGTTCATCCTCCCCATGGAGACTTTGCCTTCCATGACCCTTACCATGACATGTGATGAACACACAATGAGGCTGAGGGTGGGGTGGGGTGGAGTGGGCAGGGTACAGAGGAGTAGCCAGTCTAGGCCCTGTGCCCCTACACCCTCACCGCTTTCTAATGGGGTGGTGAACGAGGAGGGGCAACCCAGATGCCTAAGAAGCTTAGGCCCAAATCTCGGAGACAACGCCAGGCTGTTACCCCCCTCACCCAGGTCCGCCAGGCAGCCCGTTCCCACCCTTGCAAGCAGTCCAAGCGTGACGCCAAGAGCTATCAGCGCCACCGCCGCCATTGCCACCACCGCCGCCGCCGAAATACCGTACGCAGGGTTGCCAACCAGCTGCAAGCAGTTGACACCTCGTCTCCTTCCTGCAGGGTCTACAAGAAGAGTGAGGAACTTCGGTCTCGTCTTGTGTCTGGGATTATCACACCTATCCATGAGCATTGGGTCAAGGCTAGCGAAAGTCCCCACCAGGATTTTCCCCCTGCCACTGCCAGAGAGGTGGACCCACTCCGGATTCACCCACACCACCCACATACCAGCCGGCAGCCTCCCTGGTGAGTACAGAGCCCACGGTGGCAGCCCATGCCTCTGAAGAAGGAGTCCAACCATGACCATCTTGCCACTTGACCTCCCTCTGGCCCCCATGTGTCTTCAACAGAATTGTCAGAGTCTTGGTATATGGAGATAGAAAGTGGAGATGTAAGTGGAGCAGTGAGTTCTTGTACTGATACTAGTCACCCCAACAACCCAGCGTCCTAAGGCTGCCTGCCTCCTTTCTAGAGGCCACACACAGCCTCTGAGTCTGCCCAAGGGTCAGTGCCTCTGAGGCATGTGTGCAGTCCTCCAGAGTTGCTGCCCAGGTAGTTCAGTTTTTTATTCCAGAGCTCTTTGTGCAGGACCCTGGACCAGGCTTTTGGGGAAAATGTAGAAATACTGGAAGTTCCTGGAGGGAATATGTTCCCTTTCTTTGCCTTTCACTTCATTGTAGTTCCCTGATCTCTTTTACAACTTGAAAACTTTGCCAAAACAGCATGAGGTATGAGCAAGTCACATACAAGGTCTTTGCAGATTAGGATGGCAGCACTTAGGACTGGAGACTTCTGCTCTGAGGGAGAAGACAAGGACCAGGGACACCTTAGTCTCTGGTTGAGATGGCATGTCCCAGTTTGGAGTCCACAGTGTGGTAGTAACGGTGGGGTTGGTGGGGTTGTGGGGGAGGGCTCACTGTGCGGCCATAATAAGCACTCAGTAAGTGTTAGCTGCCATTGTTAAAAATGACTGTTTTGCAATTATATACCTTTTGGTTAATTAAATAAATAGGAAATTTGTTTAATTACTACAATAAGTAATAATTGGCAAGTCTCTGGCAACCTTTGGAAATATTGGGTTCTGTGGGGAGAGTGGAGGATAATAAAAAGTGGTTGAAAGGTTGGGAACAGCTTGTCTGATCTAACCTCTTTATTTAAGATGACCTGCCTAAGGTCAGCAGCCACTAATAAAGAGACAGAGCCAGGGCTGGGGGTCCAGGTATCCTCACTCCAGCACAGTGCTCTGTTGTGATGCAACCAGAATATGGTGGGAAGATTTAAGGATAAGCCCTGGACAGCAAACAAATTGGGGGAGACTTTTAGACCTTAAGTAGATAGTAATTCTCAGGTCTCTCAGATTCACTTCCTATTTCAAAACAAATATTCTCTGAAGTCTCCTTCACTGTCTCAAAATGGAATTCATAGATGATCTAACTTACCAAATGGACAGTTTCAAAAAGGATCAGTAGAAAGTCTTGACTATAATATAAATGAGAAATAAAAAGTGAGTAATTAATAAGATAATGTATAGTTCATTGTGTAGATGCCTGAGCATGATTACACTGGAAAGGATAAGCATTTGCAACTTGTATATGGAATTATCTTGAATTCGACAGTAACAAAAGCAGGCATGTGCTATGTTATAGTTACATTTCTGGAAAGAATTTTATTGAAACAGTATAAAAATACTTTGTGTTCACATATAAAATGGCCTTAGACTAACGTATGGTAGGTAATTTTATGTAGGCTTTACATCTCTATGAATGTCTAACAAGACTTTGGCAAGTTGTGTAGGATGTAGATTATTCATCATGTGGAGCTCTACTGTGGATTATAGAGCATGAAGCATCTCTGGTCTTTGCCTATAAATGCTATAAGCACTCTCCAATCACTGTGACAAACAAAAACACCCCTGGGGCTTACACAAAAACACCTCCAGGGCACCTGGAGACTGCCATCCTAATTGGGAATCATAGACCTGAATCTGGAATTATGAAGGTAAGAAATCCTAGCCTTGGAAGAACAGAAAGAATGAGAAAATCACCATATTGCAACTTCTACTGAAATAATGTAGTGACTAGGCACAAATTGTCAGTGGTTGCTAAAACCATTAGGTAAAAGGTTGATGGGCAACTTTATAATGGATGAATCAGACTGATAGCACCTGAACCCATAGGTCCATCTTAACACTAAAAGTGGGACAGCCAGACTTTGTGTATTCTAATATAATGCAGTAGTAGGTTCACAACAACATGAATCTAGCTTGAACTCCCAGTTTAAAAGAAGCATGAGAGGTGGAAGAATAAGTTAAAGAGGCACATGAGGATACATGGCTTCCAGCCAATGTATGGAACATGAAAAATTTTTACAGGATTAATTGATCTTGTTTTTTTTCATCAAATAATGGCATGGGGAGAAAAGGGAGAGGGGGCTTGTTAATTAGAGTCTTATCAGCTAAATCCAGTGTTGGACTTTGTATTGATCTTGATTCAAATAAACTAATTCTAAAATTATTTTTGAGATATTTGGGGAAATTTGAACAGGGACCAGATATTTGATAATGTTACTGCTAATTTCTTAGGTGACATAATTAAATTCTGGTTATGTTAAAAAAAAAAAGTCTTTGTCTATTGTGTATATATAATTTTATTAACTGAAATATTTAAGGGTGAAATGATATGTCTGGGATTTGCTTTAAAATAATTTCACCCCCTGAAAGAGTGAGACATTGGGAAATGAATGTAAGGGAAATAAGAATGGTAGAATATTTTGTTTTTTAATTTATTTATTTTATTTATTTATTTTTGGCTGCTTTGGTTCTTCTTTGCTGTGCACAGCTTTCTGTAGTTGCAGCGAGCGGGGGCTACTCTTTGGTGCGGTGCGTGGGCTTCTCATCATGGTGGCTTCTGTTGTTGCAGAGTACAGTCTCTAGGCACGTGGGGCTTCAGTAGTTCTGGCACACAGGCTCAGTAATTGTGGCTCGTGGGCTCAGTAGTTGTGGCTCACGGGCTCTGGAGCACAGGCTCAGTAGTTGTGGCGTGTGGGCTTTGTTGCTTCGCAGCATGTGGGATCTTCCTGGGCCAGGGCTCGAACCTGTGTCCCCTGCATTGACAGGTGGATTCTTAACCACTGTGCCACCAGGGAAGCCCAGAATGGTAGAATATTGATAATTATTGAAACTGAATGGAAAGGTACATGTGTGTTCATAAATTAGACTTTGTACTGTTTTTTGGTCCCTTTGAAAATTTCCTTAATCATGAGTCTTTTATTGATACCAATCCTTCAAAAATTCTTCCAAAAAATAGAAGAGGGGGCTTCTCTGGTGGCACGGTGGTTGAGAGTCCGCCTGCCGATGCAGAGGATATGGGTTCGTGCCCTGGTCTGGGAAGATCCCACATGCCGCGGAGCGGCTAGGCCCGTGAGCCATGGCTGCTGAGCCTGCGCATCTGGAGCCTGCGCTCCGCAGGGGAGAGGCCACAACAGTGAGAGGCCCGCGTACCGCCAAAAAAAAAAAAAAAAAAAAAAAATAGAAGAGGGAGGAACACTTCCCAACTCATTCTGTGAGGCCAGTATTACCCTGATACCAAAACCAAAGACATCACAAGAAAAGTACAAACCAGTAGCCCTTATGAATATAAATGTAAAAATCCTCAACAAAGGACTAGCAAAAGAAATCCAGCAACATATAAAAAGGGTTATACACCATGACCAAATGAAATTTATTCCAGGAATGTTTGGTTTAACATCTTAAAATACATCAGTGTAATATACCATATTAATAGAACAGTAGACAAAAAACACATGTTCATCTCAATAGAGAAAAAGCATTTGACAAAATCCAACACCCTTTCATAATAAAAGCATTCAACAATAGAAGGAGACTTTCTCAACTCCCAAAGCACACAGCTAACATCCTACTTAATGGAGAAAGACGGAATGCTTTCCGCATAAGGTCAGGAACAAGATAAGGTTATCTGCTATTGCTACTTTTCTACAACGTGGTACTTGAAATTCTAGCCAGCATAATCACTCAAGGAAAAGAAATTAAAGGTATTCGGATTAGAAAGTTAGAAGGAAAGCAATCTTTATTTGCCAATGACATGGTATCCTGTATATAGAAAATCCTAAGGAATCCTCTCTAAAAACCTTCTAGAGCTAATGAATGAGTTCAGCAGCGTGACATGATATAAGATCAGTAAACAAAAATCAATTGCATTTTCTATACACCAGTAGTGAACAATCTGAAAATGAAATTAAGGAAAAATCTCATTTGTAATAACCCTCAAAGGTATAAAACACTTAAGAATAAACTTAACAAAAGAAATACAAGACTTATATACTGAAAACTACAAAATGTTGCTGAAAGAAGTAGGAAGATTTAAAGAAAAAGAAATCCAGTGTTTCATAGATAGGGAAACAGTATTTGGCAATACTCCCCAAATTGATCTGCATACTCAGTGCAATCCCAATCAAAATCCCAGAGTTTTTTTGTTTGGTATGGGGTAGGGGGGTTGGGGGAGGCTTGTGCGTGTGGGTTTTTCTGGTAGAAATTGGCAGGCTGATCCCAAAATTCATACGGAAATGCAAGGGAACCAGAATAACTAAAACAATCTTAAAAAAACAAAGTTGGAGGACTCACAGTTCCCAACTTCAAAACTTACTACAAAGCTACAGTAATTAAGACAGTGTGCTGTTGGCCTAAGGATATGTAAAGGAAGGGAGTAGAATTGAGAGTCCAGAAATAACCCATACATTCATGGGCAATTGATTTCAACAAGGGTGCCAAGACAGTTCATAGGGGAAACAGTAGTCTTTTCAAATGGTGCTGGGACACTGGATATCCACATGAAAAAGAATGAAGTTGGACCCATTCTTCAAACTATACACAAAAATTGACTCAAAATGGATCATAGAACTAAGTGTAAGAGCTAGATAGAACTATAAAACTCCTAGAAGAAAACTTAAGAATAAATCTTCATGTATTAGAAGATTTAGAGGTGGTATTAGAGATGGTTTCTTAGATACAACACCAAAAGCACAAGCTACAAAAGAAAACATAGATGAATTGGACTTCATCAAAAATAAAACCTTTTGTTGCATCAAAGAACAGTATCAAGAAAGTGAAAAGACGGCCCACAGAATAGGAGAAAGCATTTACAAATCATATATCTGACAAGAGACTTGTATCCAGAATACATAGAGAACTCTTGCATCTCAATAATGAAAAGACAACCCAATTTTAAAAA